CAGCAGGAAATCTGTGCCTGGAAAAGCAGAAGTGGTGGTGCCCTTGGCTGGGATCTGTTAAAACCCTTTCTGGTCTTCTGGAAAGGTTCCCAGCCCCTCAAACTGACAATCCTGACTCTGACACCCTGAGAACCAGAGCAACACTGGAAGAAGCTGCTCCCCCACCCCTTGGCAGGAAGGGGAAGGAGGAGAGGGTGGGAAAGCTGTTGGTTTTTGGTGGGATGCCCTTGGAGAAGCCCCTGTGGTGCAGAGCTAGGGGGCTGGGAGGCTGCAGGAGGCTGGTGTGTGCTCACTGACAGACTGTGTCAACAGATTGCTGGTGGGGGATCCTCAGGCAGCTGGGAACAGGCTGGGAGCTGCACACCTTGAATTCTGTGTCCTGGGAGAGACTGGGCTCGTGCTGTGTAAAGAAATCTCACTTTCCCCTTGGAAACAGAGCAGGAACACTTGGTGGCTGGCTACAAAACAAGGCTTTGGGTGGCCCCGGGGAGGTGCTGGCTGTATGAATCCCTGAGGGATCTCTGCTTCCTGGCTGTTTGCTGGGGCAGACAGAGTTCTCCTACGTGCTGCTTTGCACAGGGCTGCTGGTGGTATTGACCACAGGGCAGTGGCTCTGGCTCTCTGCCTGTGTCCTCAGCTTGGCTGTTGGCCTCAGACACCTCCAGCTTTTCATGGCCACAGCAGTGGGAGAACTCTGAGTGAGGTCTGAGGCAAAGATTTCTGGAGGAGCTTGTCCCTGAGTGTGAAACACTGAGATTTTTTTCAACTTTCTCCTCCAAGGCATGACCCTGAATCTCTGCCTAGTGCCAGAAAGGTCAGGAGCAGGTAAAAAAAACCTTGGATCCAGTGTTTTGGCTCTTCCAGCTGGCCTAGATGTTGGGAGGAGCTGGGCTGGGCACCTGGCCCTGCTGCTGGAACTGCACAGAGGCCTGAAGAAATGGGGAGTATTTCCCTGATATCTCCAGGGAAATGTGCTCCCTGTGTGAGGAAGAACTGGGAAGAGCTACACTGAGAGAGGTTTTGTTGCTCCTACTGTAGATTTTTAGCCAGAAGACTGGAGTGAAAATGAAGGGCAAGGTCTTGACATCTGTATGAGCAATGAATGTTCTCCTGCTCCTCAGTAGGCAGGGAGCTGGCTTTGTTTGGGTTAGAAAAAGTGATTTGTGAACCCCTTTGAGCTGTGTTCCTGCCTTCCAGCTGATCACAGAGACCTTCAACCATCACAACAAGCTGGCCCAGAAGGAGAGGAAGGAGAAGAAGGCTCGGCAGGAGGCCGAGCGGCAGGAGAGGGCAGAGAGGGCTGCAAAACTGGCTAAAGAAAAGCAAGAAAGGAACCAGCCAAGCATCAAGGAGCTCACAGATGAGGAAGCAGAAAGGCTGCAGCTGGAAATCAACCGGGTGAGAGCCATGTCTGGGGCCTGCAGGTACCATCCAGGTCATCTTCACCTCTGCCTGTGGGGCAGCGAGGGGTTAACGTGGCCCAGGCTCCTTCCTGTGCAGTGTTTGGCCCCCCAGGCAGAGCAAGGGGTGAGCTCCACAAAATGAAACTGGCCTAGGATCAACCTCATCTTGGCACATGGATTCTCCCAGACCTCACTTGGCCCTTCTGCCTTCAGCAGCCTCTCTGCTACACCCGTCGAGGTGTGAGGATGGAGGGAAGCTTCCCTTTGTCATAGAATCAATTAGGTTGGAAGGGACCTCCAAGCTAATCAAGTCCAACCCTTGAGCCATTAGGGCTCTAAAGTCCTCTGCTAAAGCAGATCAGAATCTGTCAGGGTTGGAAGGGACCACAAGGATCCCCCAGTTCCAACCCCTCTGCCATGAGCAGGGACACCTCCCACTAGATCAGGCTGCCCAGAGCCTCCTCCAGCCTGGCCTTAAAGACCCCCAGGGATGGGGCCTCAACCCCCTCCCTGGGCAACCCATGCCAGGGTCTCACCACTCTCATGGGGAAGAACTTCTTCCTCACATCCAGCCTGAATCTGCCCACTGCCAGCTTTGCCCCATTGCCCCTAGTTAGCACTGCTTTCCTCCAACGCTGTTCCAAGGGCTGAAAATTCCCCCTCTGTTGGAGCCCTGCTCTTCAGTTGCAGCTGAAGAGGCTGAGGCCACCTGCTGTCAGTCAGACAAAGTGCCAGCACTTGCCTGAGCCTGTTCATTTTCTTTTGAAACAGAAGAAAGAGGCACAAGAGCAGATGAACGGTGTCCCAGTGAAACCCTCAGAGAATGAAGGTGAATCCTCAGATTCTAACAAACAGGTAAAATTCATCTCAGGACTTTACTGTAGGCCAAGGGAAATGTGTTTGTGGATGACCAGGAGAATTCCTGTGAATGTGAGGGAGTGTCCAGTGGTGTTCTTCAAGAGCACACAGTTTCCCAAAGGCTTCAATGTGGGGGTTTGGGGCTTTTTATGGTCTTGTAATTATAACAGAAACACTTATTAATTACAGGCTAAATTTATATGAATATCAAATAGCTGCACCTGAGCTGAAATTCTTATAAAACCCCAAAACTCTTGTTACAAGCAAAAAGATAAAAAGCACCCTGAAAAACTTCTTTCTCTACATTTTAAATTGCTTAGGAAACAGATGAGGAGGAGGAAGATGAGAAGGATAAAGGAAAACTTAAACCAAATTCTGGCAATGGAGCTGACCTTCCAAATTACAGATGGACACAGACCCTTTCAGAGCTGGATGTAAGTATTCCCTGGAGGATTCTGAGCTAGAGAATGAGAGCAGGTGCTGGTTAGAACAGTGGAGCTGAAGGTTGGTAGTTTTACTTCACAGCAGCATTTCAATAGCTGGGACTCCATGAAGTTCCCAGAAGCTGTAGTTAACCTTGCCAAACCTTGGTCTTGGTTTGAGAAAACATTCAAATCTGGCTTCCCTTATTCTAGTCCCTTTGAGGCACTGGCCAACTTGTTGCCAAACTTTGATCCTTTCACCTCCCGCTCGCTCAGTACCCCGAGGAATATGCCATGTGCTGTGTCTGATGGTGGTGAAACCAAGGCAGAAGGTCTTAAAACAAGCACAGGGGGGTCAGGAGAGATTTTGCTGCTCAGCTGCTCACCTCTGGTCTTTGTCTGGCCCAGCTGGCTGTCCCTTTCAAGGTGAACTTCAGGCTGAAGGGCAAGGACGTGGTGGTGGACATCCAGCGGCGGCGCCTCAGGGTGGGCCTGAAGGGCCACAGCCCTGTCATTGATGGAGAGATGTTCAATGAAGTGAAGGTGGAGGAGAGCTCCTGGCTGATTGAAGATGGTAAAACAGTCACCGTGCACCTGGAGAAGGTAAAGCAGAGTGAGCTGAGGAGGATTCAGACCTGTCTGCCTCTGCCCTGGGGAAGTAAGAGGGACAGAACCTGTGGAAGGCCTGGGGTTTGTCAGCTGGAGCAGAGGGATTGTCCTTCTCCTTGGCACAGTGTCACTTCAGAGCTGGAGAATCAATTGTTCTGGTTGGAAGAGACCTTTCAGCTCAGAGTCCAACCATGCCCCAGCACTGCCAGGGCACCACTGACCCCTGTCCCCCAGCACCACATCTCCACAGCTTGGAAATAATGCTGTGTTTTGATATCTGTTAGGGACATGAAAATCCAGGGACAGACCTTCCTGCTTATTGTGTCCCTCCTGGGCTTCTCCAGCCCATTTATGTCATGCCAAACGTGCCCTCAGATGAGGAAATTCAGGTTACCTGAAGTGGTTTGAAGGGAAAGTTTTACCCTTTGTCCATGCTCACATTTTACTGATTGTTAGAAAACTGATTCCAGCAGCTTCTTCCAGTGACTGAGACACAGAAGTCTCAGACAAGACCAGGAAAAATAAAGTATTTTTACTTCTTCACCCTTCAGATCAACAAGATGGAATGGTGGAACAAACTGGTCTCCACAGACCCTGAAATCAACACCAAGAAAATTAATCCAGAGAATTCAAAGGTAAGAACTCCCCTCATTTTTACAGAGTGGAGCTTTCTCATAACCTGCTCACGTTCAGCCTCCACATCTGTGGTTTTTTTAACCAGTATAAAAGCCATACTGGGAGCAGTGCTGCATGTGGAGCTAACCTATAACATCAGTGCCCCCAAAACTTCAGGTGGCTGAAGCTGAGTCCACAGACGAGTGTCTGTGGAGGTGTTTGTGCAGCCTGTGACCTCTGTGTGCTGGTGCCCTCTGCAAGCAGGGGTGTGGACAGGCTCTTGTTCCAGTCCTGAGAATATTCCTTCCTTCTAGTTGTCAGACCTGGACAGTGAAACTCGTAGTATGGTGGAGAAAATGATGTATGACCAACGACAGAAATCCATGGGCCTGCCCACCTCTGATGAACAGAAGAAGCAAGACATCTTGAAGAAGTGAGTAGAGCTCCCTAATTTGGGGGTGTTTCCTTTCCCAAGCCCCTCTCTTCTTCCTCTTTGACACAAATGGGCAGAGAACAGGTTGACCCTCAGTCCTACCTCTGTCCACATCTGCAGCTCCGTGGTCGTGGAGCTGTTGCCCAGCTACTGGTGTCTATAAAAGCATAATGGGAAATCCTGTGCCTAGCTCTGGAATCTTATCTGCTGATTCTGAGTCCAGAAAGCATGGCTGGGACTGGAGGTGCCATCTCTGCTGAACTTTAACATGATTTGGATTGTTTTCTAATCTCCTTCCACTCAGTAGGCCAGATACCACCCCTCCCTCCACACCTGCCAGCAGACAGCTGTCTCCAAGCCAGCAGCACTTTTATGTCTTTATTGCCCTGTTTGGCATCAACACAGCTCAGCAGGGGAGTTGCTCAGGGAGCTGCCAAGGCCGTGTGGGGAGGCGTGGGGGCAATCCTGGGTCCTGCAGCTTCCTCAGCCACTGCAAACCCACTTCTTATCTCAGGAGTGGAAGGAGGATCAGCATTGCAGGCCTGACTCCTCTGCTTCCTTGGCTTATCTGCAGTGGCAGTGGAATCTCATAAAGTTCAACCAGGGCAAGTGCAGGGTCCTCCCCCCCCTGCACCAGGACAGGGGAGGGGTGACCTGCTGGGAAGCAGCTCCACAGAGAAGGACCTGGGAACCCTGGGGAACAAGTTGTCCAGGAGCCAATAATGGGCCCTTGTGGCCAAGAAGGCCAATGGTCTCCTGGGCTGCATTCAGAAGAGTGTGGCCAGAATGCTGCAGGAGCTTCTCCTCCCCCTCTGCTCTGCCCCACTGAGGCCACATCTGGAGTACTGGGTCCAGTTCTGGGTTTCCCAGTCCAAAAGAGACAAGGAGCTACTGGAGAGAGTCCAGGGGAGGCTCTGGAGATGCTGAGGGGCTGGAGCATCTCTGTGCCAGGACAGGGTGAGAGCACTGGGGCTGCGCA